AGCATCCTACTACATTTTACAAGACTATCTGCTTTGAAAATAAAGTGGTTAGCAAGGTTCTCGCTCGCTCTCACACACACACACTCCCCCATCTCCGCCCACACCCTTTGCCAACTCTAAAGGGAGCAGAGGAATCAATTTAAATGGTTTTTAAAAGGCATCTAATAAAGAATTCTTTGTACTATACAATTTTTTGGTCTTAATACACAGCCTACTTTTAACACCTAAAAAAAGACTTGAATCTTTAAAAGCCTTTAAAATGGGTCACATTATTCATCAGTAAAGAAGATTCTATTCCAGTGTTAATTTAATCAAAGCTGCTAATTAACGTGTGACATTGATTTCACCCAAGAAGGAAATCAGTGCAGAAAATGTGACCTTACATTCTCACAGGAAATTTAATCTAATTATGAGGATGATTTACCAGCTGCAGGCTTTGAGAAGGAAAGGAATGGAATGGGTTTGTTTTTAATCTGAACAAATACACAAAGAGGGACATGTTTTTAGTGTAATGTGAACAGAGTTTGGGCCACAGCTGTGGTTCATGCCAGAAGCTGGGAGTTAAATCAATAAGACTTGAAAGGCTATTGTAAGATGGTAGTAATCAAACTCTTCAGAAATAATTTCAAGTCTCTCACTGCTATCCAAGCTGAAAGCTCCATCTCTTACCAGTTTCTCTTCAACAAGCCATCACCCAACACATTCCTGTTGGGTAAAAGCTCTTTCTCAAACTGAAAGTCACACTTGTCACGGATGGTGTACCGTGTATTCTTACAAGTAACAATGAAGATTACTAAAAATGAAAGTAGCAGAGGATGTATTTACACATCAGTTTTACTCTCTGCAGTTGGTAGCAGGTGGGGTGCAGTCAGTTTCACTATTTCCCTCTCTAGTCAGTTAACAAGAGAGAAAATGACTAATTGAAAAGACCCTTAGCAAGAAAGTCTTTTCTGCTGTTTAAGAAAAAAAGAAAGAAAGAAATCCCTAAAGTTTCAGGACATGCTGCTAAAAGGAGGGCTCTATCAGAAAGTGATTTTTTTCATTAGTCTATTTTAAAATATTCAGTTTGATGGCTCCCCTTTCACTCAGATAAGCCCTGGCATTACACCTTGTGGCTATTTATGAAGGGAGCAACATAAATATAATGGTGTTATACAGGGTTGCAACTAGATTTCCGTATGTTTGACATCTTAGTCCTACACTTTGATATACCCTTTTGTCCATATAAGTTTCCTCGCAGGCTGAATAATTTTTCCTGGAAGTATGAAGCAGGTTGGTCAAGCAGTAACTGAGTTATAGGTGATGAAAGTGTAATATGCAAGATACTTCTTACAGTGCACACTTTGGAGAAAGACTAAAAAGTGGTTTGGCTTTAGAAGTTTGAACTCTTAGGCTCAATCCTTCACAACTAGCAGTGTATGGAGTAGCAACACTGGTCTAAGATGGACACAGTGAAAATATTAATAAAACAGCTGGAGCATCAATCTATTTTATAGATTAAGAAAATATTTACAAGAAGGTTCAATAAATGCAGCTGCAGAATTCCAGAATAGGGTTAATCCAGTTTCAAAACTCCATAAAACCTTATAAAAAGAAAAGGAGTACTTGTGGCACCTTAGAGACTAACCAATTTATTTGAGCATGAGCTTTCGTGAGCTACAGCTCACTTCATTGGATGCAAACCTTATATTTGACACAGAGAGAAAAGAGACTAGTTATTGCCTCTTGTTAAATTCTCTCTGCAAAGAGATGCAACATCACTGGACTGAATGTTTACATGAGATTGAGTAACATTTCAAAAAGGCTTTCACGTGGAATCCATTAATCCCTCACCACAGCATTAGTGAAATGTTAGTCTTTGGGAGGAAAGAAAAAACAATGAGTCTCATCATCTCAGACTAACAGCCCTCCCAAACTCTCTGAAGCTCTCTCAGTTTCTCCATTTGTCATATTCTTGCTTCCAATCCGCTCAAAGCTTTTCTAGTTTTACTATTAGTAAGAAAATTAACACTTTATTAGCCTAAGCCCCTATTGGGACCATCTGCTTCCTCCCCTGTTCCTCTGAGGCTTGTCCACTAAAGCGCTTCCCCTTTTCTCCCGTGTGTGGGGAGCCTATGTAACACAAGGAAAGTTTTTTTGCACCCATTCATCTCAGCAAGCACTGAGTCATTTCAGGATACTGACGTAAGCATAAGCTCTACCAGCATTCTTGCAGCTAACATGGTTTACTGGTGAGGCAGTGTGGTAGGACTGCAGGTGTACACACTTGCAAAAAGGAGTTATGCTCCAGCTTCCCTCACATTGGCCTGGCTCAGCTGGCACCACTCTTACCTCTGAACTTGGTGAGTTCAGCTTCTAAACTAGGATTTAGACTTGAACAAGTGAAAGCTAGTACAGCCCTAGGGAAAGGGCTTGTGGGGAGGGAAGATGGAGGTGCTACACTGCCATAAGGATTTCATCCTGACAACTGTCCAGAAGCAATCTGAAGACTATATTGCAATTTACAAAATGAGTGAAGGATAATCCTATTTGATGGTTCCAATATTTCCCCTCTCTAATCTTGCATTCTAATCCACAACACTGTGTGCAAGCTACTGCAGAGTCTCCGTAGCAGTCACTTTCACAAACTCAGTAGTACCTGACATTTTTATATTTACCTACACAGTTCCTGCATCACCAGGATCTAACTAACAACTGTGCCTTGAGATGATTGACATATGAAAGGTGCAGTACAAAGCTACTTATTTTTTGCTGAATTTGGGCATAACTTCCCCATCAACACAGAGGCAGAAGGATGTTTAAAAACCAGGGATAATTTAGTTCTTGACTGTGAAATATGCCTATTCACTGTATAGCAGTATAGCTATAACATAGCAAGGCACAGTTGTGTGTGTTCCTTCCTTACACTAATTCCGATTTAAAACGCAGTTTAAGTAATACTATCCTGAACCAATTTAATCTGGAATTGTGGAGCACATGTTTTCAGATTAGGTAGTGTTTTTTTTTTTTTTAATTTTCCTATTTCACCAGTATTTAGTTGATTTAATGCTTACAGCTCCCAAAATGCAAGAAAAATACATGGTAGAGAACTACATGCAAGAAAATTACAGAATGAACATGAGCATTGGCTACATTCTGCAATTCTGGAAACATGATTATTAAAAAGAAAGGAACATCAGTTCTCTTCTCCAATACCGAATTTTTTACCTTACAGCAAAAAAGGCAAGACACTGAATTCTGGAGAATGTTATTTTGCATATTTCCATGACTACTTGCTAATTTTAGCAATGACTAGAGTAATTCTGTGATCAAATGTCATCAGATATTGCTTAAATTACCTTTATAAAATAAATGGTTTTAACATAGGCACATTTACCTTTTTATAAAATGGAAATTCCAAAAAGTCCATGTTCTCTCAAAAGTCTTAAGAAATAAGATGTGCATTGTCAAAAGCCTTTGCACTTATAAGTACATCTGCTTAACTTGTAGAAGGTTCCTAAACATTAAACAGGTTTCAGAGGAACAGCCGTGTTAGTCTGTATTCGCAAAAAGAAAAGGAGTACTTGTGGCACCTTAGAGACTAACCAATTTATTTGAGCATGAGCTTTCTGTGCTGGAAATGGCCCACCTGTTGATCACTTTAGATAAGCTATTACCAGCAGGACAGTGGGGTGGGAGGAGGTATTGTTTCATATTCTCTGTGTATATATAAAGTCTGCTGCAGTTTCCACGGTATGCATCTGATGAAGTGAGCTGTAGCTCACGAAAGCTCATGCTCAAATAAATTGGTTAGTCTCTAAGGTGCCACAAGTACTCCTTTTCTTTTTCCTAAACATTAAACATCTCCTAAAAATTAGAAAAGAACAGAGAACAACTCCAATAATCCTCTTCTAATTGACTTCTGGGCACAACAAGGTTTTATTTTAAGATCTGTTCTAAAAAGGAAGGTTTTGGTCAGAAAAAAAAATTATGGAAGCCCCCAAGATCTCTAGTAATATTTGCTATAATAAAAAGATAATCAACCCCCTCACCCCCGTGCACACACACCCCTCAAAAAAACACTGAATGCTATGTGTTGACTTCAAGAGTGCATACTGAAAATGGTTGCGAACTGCGAGGAAAACTCTACATACAAAAATGCAAGTACCATAAATGACACCATCCTCTGGAAGAGAAGATAGGTTTCGGTTCCTCCAGTGATAACAATCATTAAGGTCTGGAATGGAATGGTACAGGACATAGTACAATGGGGTCTCCAGAGTACTCAGGAGAGCACACATGATATGTGGGAAGTACCGGCAGTTGAGGACTTTACCAAATACTGTCCTGTAAATGATGGAACAGTGAAGTAACCTTTAAGGACTCACACTGCAATAACTTTGCAAGCCTGGATCTGACAATGTTTGCAAAAAGTAAATTCTCTTTTTGCAAGCTCTCATGTCAAGCCAGAGTAAAATGGTACCATACAATATTGGTTTGGTTAACTTTGTAAGAGGCTGTTTGTTGTACTGAATAATGTGGAGCATCTACAACCAAGTTCGCATCACGTCAAACCTAGACATTCCTAGAAGTGGCATCAACTAGACCAGTAAGTGGAGATCAATGACAAAATTGGCTACTGTCTCCTATGGAGATGGGACAGCTAAATTCTGAGATCATGTCTCTAGATGTGGAAAACTGGTACTTTATCACCTCTGGTAATATGGGAACCTGACTTTGCTTCATTGAGATATTTACATATCCTTTCAAGGGTACTACCATGATAATTATCTGAGCAATTAAAAAATGTAACCATATAATGTTTATGCAGTATTTTTGAACTATTCCTGTGTACCAAGTATCAGGTTCCTATTATATGTTAATAGCCTAATATATTTATTTCAGCTTAGTCTCATTAGATAATCACAAATAAATGTAGACAAAAAAATAGAAAGCAGTAATTACTAACAACAACCTGATAGCTAAACCAGTGAGGTTTGCTGTGGGTCTTTTAGCTTTACCTTATGGCACATATAGGATCCACCTTTCTTCACTCTGTCAGTCCCTGATGAGGGCCCTTTCTGTGGATGGAAGGACACCAGTTACTTTTCTTCTGAAAAAGAGCAACAGCCAATTACAGGGTAAAGGTACAAAGTGGTAAGAGCAGGAAAATGGAAGAGGAATGACCACCAGCATTCAAAACAAACAAACTGCAGCTGTTTCTGAAACCGGAGAAGCTTGAAATAATTGCATTGCAGGAGACTGGAAGCCAGGACAGAGTAATTGTTCTGATTTCACCACTGTAATAAGTACTTAAAATTTTAATCATTGTTCTACCTGTCAAGAGGGCAGTGTGCTATCTTGTTTCTTTAAAGAAGCTCATAATATACTGTAACAAGCAGAATGACAAGTGTGAAGAGTAATGATGTTGAAGAAAGATATGAAAAAAGCTCCGCTGTTGCAGAATTCCCATAAGAGACAAGATCATAATCTTCACCTGTCATTTACACTGCACTGCCTCTCTCCCCATCCACATGTCGCATGGAAGCGGCTGAAGAGTTCAGTGCTTTCTGCGAGGCCCAGTGTGGCCCTTGTGTAACTGTATGGGCCTGCAATTAAAGGCATGTTTTGTGTGCACACATTTTAGGAAGGGCAGGCCCACAATGTCTTCTCATGCAGACTTTAATTTCACAATCCCTTATGAATTCCACCCCCACAAGTAAGAGGGGTTGCCCAGCCATTAGAACAGGGGGCTGTAAGTCAGGAAACCAGAGTTCTGCTAATGGCTTGGCTACATTCTCAGTATGGGAATCTGGGCACATCTGTGCTTGCCTCCCTTAGCTGTGAAATGGTTACCATACTGCTCGCCTGCTTTTGTAAGTATTAACTAGCTAGTGCATGGGAAGCACTTTGAAAACCTGGAAGAAAGGCATTACAAGATACAAGCTCCTGCTGCGTTTTATATTTGTCTACACCACTAATTTATACACAGGCTACTTCCAAAGGGAAAATTTCCCAGAAGAGTCCAAGTAAAAGTTGCTCTCTCCCCTTCACATGAAACTCCACCTCTAGGCAGGAAGAGCTTTACTATCTCAAACTGGCAAGACATGCAAGAGAATATGTCTTGCTTACAAAAGCTATAAATATTATCTTAAATAATAGGTTATGGATTGTTTTGCTGGCATACTGAGCCTAAAATCAGTATCAAAATGAAAAACTTTTACTTGGCCAGGGTAAATGCACTGACATAGACAGGTATTCAGATTCCTGTACCTACTGAACAATCATATATTCTGCAAATTACTTGAAATAGTTCAGTCAAGTGTCTCAGTGCAAGTCTCACAGATAACTCCAAGTAAATGACGAATTCCTTATGTGGCAGCAAAGAATTTTAAAGTTGGCATGATGTATAAAACAAGGTTCTGTATTTCTAAAGAGAAAAAAAAAACAGCGATATACTTAAAAAATGATATTTGTAAAATATCAGTCGCCTGTTTTTTTAATCTATGCCGCCTGGTTTTTAAATGGGGAGAAGGGGGACAAAGACCATACAGTAAATTCACCATAATTCAGTTACTCATTTTTATCCTTACAACTACAGAGGTGGGGTGGGGATTACTGCAGGTTTTTTTTCACTCTAGTAACTGAAGAGGTGATATACAAGCATCTTTCCAAATCTCTTTCCAAACTATTCTACAAGCAATGCCACAGTATAAAATCCAAATTCATCTGTTTCCTGGATTTGGCTTTATTACCAAATAAGCTACAACAATCAGCTCAAACCTTCTCCCCAGACTTGGCTGCTCTTAGGGTTGCTCTGTCAGGACTCCTCCGCACACACCCTAGCTTTTCCCTTACCTGTGAGCCATTCCCACCTCCCTTATAACCACCCACCTGCCTCAATCCATCAGTAGCACTCAACCTTTCCGTGAAGGAACACCACCCGCCAATAAGATGGGGAGTTTAAGGAAAAGACTTCCAGCTTTCTCCACAGCAATTACAGAAATGATTCCCCTCTCTAGTACGGATACAAGAAGTGTAGAGAGCCATATTAGTCTTCATAACACACTTGAAAGGAGGCCCACATACCCTGTGTATTCAGGAGTTTACACTTTCCTGCAGCTTTTAAACAGTCTGCATCTTGTGCAAAATGCTCACCCCAGGAAATCAGTCCTCAGAACTATAGAACAGGTGTAAGAAGGATAACTCAGTCTCTGGCCTATTGAGTCCTAGACATCTCTGTTGAGGTGGTCAACAAGGACATCATTTTGTTTGAAGTGAGAAGCGGACATCCCTTCCCCATGGACTGTGCCTTGACAATTCAAGTAGATACCTAGAAGAGAGAGGATTGTGCAAAGTGGCCAAACCTCAGGAAAGCTACTTCACTGAAGAATTTGTTCTCTTCAAAAATCCATTGCCAAAATGATGTGGCCTGTGTGACATAATGAAACCACCTCAAGGAGCGGCAGTAGCTATGCCGTGAGAGAAGCTATGCACATTACCATTTACACCAGTGAAACTTGTCACTCAGAGGTGTGTTGTTTTCATACCCCTGAGTGACATAAGTTTTGCCGACGTAAGTGATAGTGTAGACATGGCCTTAAAGTATCAGCACTTAACCATTTCAGTGCTGATCACTGTAGAAGAACCATCCAGCTGGTGTGCATATCTCACAATTCCAGCTTATTTCCAGGAGTCACCACCATCCCCTACCTAGCTGCCAAAACTCCCAGCTTCTCCACCACTCCTCAAGAGACTTAGGAAGCATAAACATCTCCATGGCATGTTGAAAAGAAAGAGTGGAAATACCCTAAAATAAATTTAATATAATAAGCATACACTACAGAAATTACTGTGCTGAAAGTTTTATTTTTATCACTGTTTAATAATCTCCATTTTAGAAGTTTACCTGAAGTTGCCACAGTTTCCAAACTACTTGATTAGGGCACAATTTAACCACGGGTAAAGGAGATTACAAGGCATCAGATGTAGCTATGGATCCAATGAGTCAAAACAGACCACAGTGGTGTCCATTACTTAATAAATGGGTGAGGTGGATCCCACTGACAAAAAGGGAACACAGTTGTGCTTCCTCCACTCTTCCCCCACTACAGTTCTTGGAAAGATCTTTCTTCAAGGGAGAAAGAATACATTCTAGGACATTACTTGGTACCACAGGTACTCTTACAGCATTACAGTACAACACTTAATTGCGCTCCAAAATAGGCAAATATGTACTGCAGGTGAAAAATTATTAGTTCATCCTCTGTATATACTGCATGATTTGTGCTCGTCTTGAAAATTACTTAATTCTCCATTTCCAAGGTCTGGGGAAATGTACTCCTTGACAGACAGACAATGTCCTGTAATATACTGAACAAACCTCATAGAATTCAGCTAAACTTTACTGAGTTAACCCTAATTCAATAATATTTAAGTTAACACCTTTGGGGTACATTGTATTAAAAATGCAACTGTGTATGTATTATTGGGAAACTGCATGTACCTTCTCTACTAGAGAGGGGAATGCTAATGAACTTCCTCAGTTATCAGCCTTTGAGCCCCCACCCTCCCCAGGAAATATGCATATACTAGTTCAAACTGGATTCTCCAGAGATCCACAGACAGGAGGAAAGACTTTTGGATAAAAAACCTAAATTTAGGCTGACTCAGGGCCTTCTTCCTGATCCAGAAAACAGACAGAACTCCTGGTCAACAGGGGACCCCAATTCTTAGGGAAGGACTGGAAGGACTTAGTCCACTGAGGCCTCATAAGACTGGGTGCTTTTTCTGAGCTGAAGCTCTGGTGAACTTGTAACCACAAAGAAATACCTAGGGTGGGGTGTTGAAAGACCACTCTTGCCAGAACCTATGAAGAGTTGGGATGGACTCTGGTAAGCTTATTAACATGTGTGTAGGTTCTTTCATTGTTTTTAATAGGTTTTCTCTGCAGTGTTTGTACCTTAAAAATAAAGTAGACTTGCATAGGAAACTGTGTGGTAACGTATCTGTAGTGATCATTCTGTTATCAATCTCAGAGGAGAAAGCAATCAGGTCTGTTTAGGCAGACTGTCTTCTGGGAAATATATAGTGAAGGCAGGGAGCTGTATAGCCCAGAAACACCCAGGTCAGATGGAGAGAGATGCAGGTCTCCAGTCCACCCAGAAGAGGCAACAGTTGGGGAACTGAAAACCTGAGAGTGGGTACCCTTGCTGAACAACTGGGGGAAATATAGGTGCAGTTGCTCTGAACCATGACAGACCCCATAAAATCTTTGACGCAAATATGTTGCGTGTCTCACTGTAAAGATAAGCCATCAAAAGCACAAATGATGCGTAAACAGAAAATTCATCTCATTTCAGGAGAAGCCAGCATGGAGCACAGACAGAAAGCGGAACATTTGCCTATAAAAACAAGATCTGTGTGAAAACAAAAAACAGAAACCCATAGCAGGATTCCCCACTCAAAGCAATAAGAAGTGAGCACAGAGTTCAGAGCAGCAGCCCTCCTGCTACCATCTCAGAAGGAATCCAGTTAAAAACTGGAAGAGCATGCTAATCTGGGATTAAAAGAAGTGTTTGTCCATCTACGCGATTGTTGTATGCCTCAGTAATTACAGTAACTCCGGTTACTGATGTGCAGATACAATTACCATTTTCTTTGGTTTAAGTCAGTCTATTACAAAATTCCAGTGCCAGACAAAACTAAACCTTAGAGGGCTATTTGTTACAAAGCATGAATTATACTGAAAATCCCAGCCTCTGAAATAGTATTAGAACATAGAAATGCTTTATCGGACCACTTGAGCTGTAACAATGCCTCCCAACGTGATTCTCTCTTTAGAGATCTATCACATTACAGAACATCATCCTCTTAATGTATCCTTTCAAATCACTGAAGATAAAGTTATTTTATAACAACTGAGAAAGCTCTCTGGGACACAGAAAATGAGAGAAACGAGCTGGAGTTACACCCACAGTTTATTGGGCAATTATACTTGTTTTAACTTTGCTTCTCTTCCTCAAGGTTTGTTGCTGATATTTCCCTCGTATCTTGCATTGCAGCTCAGTGCATCAATAAG